TTATTTAATTTTGGAAAATCTTGTTCCTCAGATTCTAAATGTTTTCCATTTTCAGCAACAAAGTTTAAATTTATGTTTTTATCATACATATAATCGGGAAGTTTCGTCTCCTTAATCGAACTACGTGGATACGTAACTTTATTGGAAAAAGATTAAAATGTTGTATTATTAATTATTCGTATTGCTGAAGTTTAGCCAAAAAAGAAAGAAAAATTAAATCTATATTTTAATATCATTCATTGATGAAATTATATATTAATTAAATACATCTGTGTGTATGAATGCATATATGCAAAAGAGGCAAAGGGCTTTATCAAAAACAAACAAGGAAGGGCGATCTAAGTATGTTTGGTAAACTCTAAACTTTTCTGGGTTCTCTTTTTAAACTACATGGTAGCAGGAAAAAATACAAGTATTAATAAGTTAAGAAATGCTATATCTGTATTATGCTATTGCTGTATGTAAAGCATCATCAGTAATGACCTAAATTTTCAGCTGTATTTTATTAACCAAATAGTCTTAAGCGCCAAGAGGGGACAGATCCCCAGGAGTTAAGCTTGATCGAAACACCCGCTCCCACGGTTGACTCTCCTCAATAGTATAATTCATGGAGGTAAAAAAGGACCTTTCTACCTCCATGGTATAATTAGCTGTAATTCGTCCCCCCCCCCCCCCCCCCCCGAGTTCAGCCACTTAGCTTGTTTTTCAGCATACTCAGAACTAGAGCTTCAAGCATTAGTTTCCGGAAAAGTTCCTAATTGCTTTCATCTTGCATACAGATTGCTGCAGTTACCAGCCAAACCCTGATTCTCACTTCTTTTTCGAAACAAATATATACTACTATAGATGAAAGAAAAATTTCATTTTATGAATAAAATAACTGTATATAAAATGCGAAACTAAATAATCTAGTAAAAAATGAACTTTTGAAAAAACTCATAAATCAATATTCTGAAAATTTTAAGTACGGTGAAATATAGCATTTAATTCTCTCCTTTAACCTTTTCAGTCCCAATGGGTTCTACAAATCCCAGTAGATGTTTAAAGAAGCCTAGATGGAATTTCATGCATCAATTTACTACATAGTTAATGTCCCACTGGTAGAAGCATCATTTCTGACATTTCCACTACAAAATTGTTGCCCGCCTCTTCTTATAGAGGCTTAGTTACAGACTGTCAATTTCTGTGAATGTCATTTGTGTCATTTGTGATAATTACCAAGAATAGATAAAAATATCAAGTCAGTTGAAAAAACAAATAAATTGGGACTGAAAGGGTTAAACAATTTAAGATGATTTTAATTTTCAGTATTTAGTTATTCAGATTTACAGCAGCAAAATCATGTTCTTAAAACGGATTAGTTAAATCTATTTAGATCCTCAAAAAAAAAAAAAAAAAAAAAAAAAAAAAAGTATTTTTCCTTTCATTTAAAAATTTTATATTTGACAACTTCTAAATCCCTTTTTTTTTTTTTTTTTTTTTGATATTCTGCACTATATCACACGTAAAATTATAAATTTTTGCTCATAAAAAATTCATAGATTCATGAGTCTATTTGAGTTAATTGTGCTTCTTACATGCAAAAGATGTTTAATATGAAGACGTATATTAATAGAGTTTTATAATATATTTTCAGTGGGAAATATGCACTAACATATAACAAGCTAATTCAGAAGTCAAACAACAAAAATCAGCGTTATCTTCACAAAATATAACGCTGATTTTTGTTGTTTGACTTCTGAATTAGTATTTATTCGGCGTGTTATTGTGTCTTAATTATATAACAAGCATTAAAATAATTGAGTCACAGGATCAGTAAGAAACCACGGTTATTACCAAAATAAATGAGAACAATGTACAATATAATAAAGACTACAAAGGTGAATGAGCACAATATTTAAAATAAATAAGGACTATATACAACTTCTCAGACTCCCACACCATCGAAACTATATAAAAATTAAACATGTTGCAACAATTAAAGGAACAAAAAAGAGGGATTTTGAGAAACCAGTGCTCCAAAAAAAGCATGTGATTTGAGTATATACAGGTATTAATATATAGTATGAATCACAACCAACATACTAATTAAGCCTTGCATGTAATATTAAAGAGAATGCATATTAAAGTATAAGAAATGGCTAACTCCATAAAGTACAAAGATGAAAAAGATATTTGTGTTTGATTTAAAACATAAACGATGGAAAACATGCTTTCTTTAAAGATATCTTTTTTCAAAATGTGTTAGGTACTTTTAGTTGAATGCGTAGAACACTAAATACTTTCATTTTATAGAAAAATATTCTTTCTGATTATTTTAATTAAAACATAATCATGTATGAAGCGAACTCGGATTGCAAAATTTATTTATGGTTGATATTCAAAATCATATGTTTATAAAACATTTAAAGAAACACATAAAAAAGTTACATTTTCTTATTCCAAACAAATTGTCATTTAAGTAAAAAAAAAAGTGTATTTGAAACGTTTCAGTCACTGAAAATAAAAGTCAACGTAAAATATGTGCAGTTTTAATCCTTTATAAAATTTAAGGGAAATTTGACTAAGTTTTTATTTCATTAAATTTTATCTTTAATTAAAAATTTACAAGAAAAATTAGTCGCTTCAAAGTTGTTAGGCAAAGAATTCCGATGACAAAGAATTGCCACAAAATAGAATCTCACTCAGAAATATGAATTTTAATTTTGCTATAGAGATTTTTGGAGTGCATAAATTAAAATATTCTGAAAATTAAGAAACACAGAAAAAAAAAAAAATTAAATTGTCTTAGGAAGTTGGTCACTGTAAGTTTAATAAGTAACTACGAAATTTTCGAATAAAATGTATATGAAAAATTAAATAAAATAATTTTAAGTGCTTAATAAGAAATGTCTAAATCTAAATTTTTTTTTACTAATGGCGGGCCCTCAGCCAACTTCGGCTTGGCCGCTACTAAGGCCTACTTTATTATGGAGGCACCAAATAGGTGGGCCACCTTTGCCTCCTATGACGGACAGTTACAACCCTGCCTTCTCCGAGATTCAAGCCCGGGACCTTTGGTATCGCAGCCCGGCTTCCCATACCGTCTGGGCAGCCTAAATCTAAAAGTAAATGTAAGCAATCCAATTTAAAGCGACCACTCAAAACTCCATATTTTTTTAAATCTTGTGTGGATGTGGTGAACTTGCGTAATGATTAAAACATATTTTTATTGTTCTCAAAAACATTGTTCATCTTAGGGAGATAGTCACCAAGAAGGTTCACTGCAAGTATACATTATTTCTATAAAAAAAAAAAAAAAAAAAAAGCCGCGTGAAGATTTTCATGTTTTTCCTGAAGTATAATGTGCATATGAACCAGTTCCTGAGAATGTACTCCACCATCTCTTAAGCAGATAGCCTTAGTGTGTTTTGGCATAATGTAATAAATCCAAACACTGCTGAAATATTATATAGCTGGTTTTCGTCATAACGAGGATATCAACATTCAAGTAACTGACTGCACGCTGCAAGAATAAATGAAACAAAATAAGAAATAATTTTCACTATAAGAGTATTAGATTAAAACAAAAGTAAAGAATATAATCTCATAGTTTAGCAATTTTCTCATATTTAATGTCATGCAGTTACTTACCTTCCTTTTTCTAATCTTTTTTAGATTATACTTTTCATGAAAAATTACCAGTAAAAACTTTATAAAAAAATTATTTATAAATGACCTTAGATAGTTAACTAGTATGTCTAACATTCTATTAAGGTTTAACATTCTATTGAGTGCTATAAAGTTGTATGAATTTTCTATGCTTAAGTTTCCTTCTTTATCAGCGAAGTTTATTAGTGAATAAAAAATATCAAAGCAAAAATTATACTTCTTTCCATCTTGCGCTCACAAATCATCATGAGAATATCCATTTACAATAATTAAAGCCTGAAAAAAGCGTGTCTGCAATGTATTGTCATGCGATGATTTGCAGATACTTTATTTTTTACCACGATATTTTCGTCGGTGATGTTTTTAAACCGTGAAGTTTTTGAACCGCTTTATTTTCGACGATGATATTTTGTACCACGATGTTTTAGGACTGTGATGTTTTCTCTTTGTGATTTTTTCTCCCACAATGTTTTGTAGCACGACGTTTCCGCCTTGCGTTGTTTTCTTTGCCACGTTTTCGTCCGCGGTGTTTTTGCCGCGATGTTTTCGGCTGTAACCTTATATTAATATGACACTAGTTTTTACGGTTAATTGGGAGCAGTTCTATATGGCCTTGTAAAGCTTTGTTGTCATAGTATCTCTCTTGCAAAAGCTGTAATTGTCTTATATCCTAGGTATGTCCATCAAATTCTTTCCAACAGCAGAACTTGAGACTCAAAACATATTTATGAATGTCAGCATTCATCAATACTTTTATTAATTTAATAGCAATGGATGTCAATGCATTCTAAAGAAGAGGGAAGTGAGAGTGCTGATTTCTTGTAAAAAAAGGAAGTACTGTGCTCCAAAAAGAATTTTTTTATCATTCATTCTGCTAAGAGAATCATAAATATGGAATTTATAGAGATTCATGATTAAAATTTGTGCACAAAAGGTAGGATAAAATCCTTGTCCTTGTCCCTTGGGCAAGGGATATAATATTGCTGATTCTCTTTGTGCTAAAACTGTTTCATTAATTCATTTTGTGACGGGACATGATTACCTCAATGCTCATCTCTTTTTACGTTAGATCCATGATTTTTTAGTGTCTTCTCTTTGTAATTCTTGTGTATAATCTATGAAGGAAGAACATTTAAACAAGCCGTGCTTTTAATAGTTTTAATTCTGTTACCCAAAGTTCTGAGAAACAAGACTGTTTATTGCCTAAGTGCGAAATGTGAGACATTTGTAAATAAATAAATATTTTAGCATATTATATTATGAGTGGTAATATCTGCTGAATTTTAAATTCCAAACCTTTAAAAAAAAATTTTTTTTTTTAAATTTAACTTTTTCTCCCTTTTTGTTAGACTGTGTGTCATGCTTGTGGAGCTACCTCAGAACCTCTGCCTTTTACTCAAATGGTGCACTATGTGCCTTCTTCCGCTCTTTGGTAAGAATATCCTTTAAAACAAATTTTTTTCTTTATGTAGAATTCAAAGACTATTTTTCATTTCATAAGTATTAAGGCGTATAAAACAGTTTTATTAGTTTAAAATTATGATTTGAAGTGTATAATTGTTTGACTCAAATCTTATTATATTTGGAAGTCATGACAAAATAATATTAAATAGTATTATAATTTAATATAAATAATATTAAAATACAATAAATTTTGTGCTTTGGCTGTATTCATTTGTGTTCAAAAAACAGATTTATTTTGTTTGCATAGAAAATAAAATATGAATATGAAAATAATTATTTAAATTGAATTGTATTAAGTATATGTCATATATGTTGACTCGTCAAACATAGATAAATTACTGTTTATTTATAAGATTAAATTAAATTACTTTATACATAAGAGAGACATTGATGCTACATGGTTGGCAAGTGACGAGAGTGTGACGCAGCACAAATACCGATGTGAATCTGAAAACTGGTTTTTCAAATCACCATTCATTGCAGATATTTTTTACCGTGCACTCGCCTAGCTATTCAGGTTAGAGGCACTGCCATCTAACGGCAAGCAAAGTAATTAATATCTAACAGTATATTCTAGTATTTAATTGTTAAATCTGTATATTACAGCAAAACAGCTGGTACTGAATGTTTTTTTAATCCAAAATTTATAAGAATTAAATTTTCGTGAAATATCAGTAATTTTTATTTATACTTTAAAAAAAATGTTTTTTTTATTATACCCATTTGATTGTTTTATTTATTGATTGTTTTACCCATTTATGTGAACATTTTTATGGTGCCATTTGACTACTTTTCTTAGCTTGTTTTATTTATTTATTATTTATTTTTTTTAATGCAGTGGTAATAACCTCACCTTTCTGATTATGATTATATTTAGAAGTGTTTAGATTTCAAAGTGGTATTTAATTTGGTGTTCAATGGAACAAAATATTAATGATGCACAAGTAGAAATTAATGCACTTTAATTAAACTTTTTTTTTTTTTTTTTTTTTTTTTTTTTTTTTTTTTGGTAGTTCTCAAGCAAAGCTGATGAAGGAAAAAAATGACCAAGTGCCAAATTTCAGTGAATTGCTCAAGAGAGCGGGAGGATTAGGAGATTTAAGAGACTGCCCAGTAAGTTACTGCAAGATGCTACAAAAATCAAGCATGCTTTTTTTTCATCCATTTTATCAAACACAGATAATTATACTTTTAAAAATTATTTTTTTTAGAGTTCATGTGGTGCTGTGATACAGATAAGAAAAACCCTGATGAATCATCCAGAAATAGGTAATATACTTTTATATTGTACTTCAAAATAGAAGACCTTACAAAAAATATTTTATAAAATGTATTCATATTTTCTAATGATTTTTTTTTTTTTTTTTTTTTTTTTTAAAGTGAGCATTGGCCTTGTCTGGGATTCTGAAAGGCCTACTATTGAACATATCATGGATGTCTTCAAGACCATTGGAATGTCTCTTAAACTTCAAGATGTAAGTTAATTCAGATTATTTAATTTTTTTTTTTTAGTATACCAAAAATCACTAAGCTTAGATTTTTAAAAATGATTTGGCCTGGTGTATAAAGGTTCTACATTATTCAACATGCAATGATATATTCAAGTGACAGCGATAACACCTTTTTGATGTTAAAAAAAAATCAAAGATATTCAAATGGTAATTAAATGAAATGAGTTAAATAAAAGTTAAAAAATAATTAATAATTTTTTGAGAATGTTAGAAGGTAATGATAGTAATTTATATGGATAAATTTTATTACTAATAAATGATTTTTAAAGTAAACTATAAATCATAAAGTGCTAGATAATTAATAATAATACTAGATAATTATTATTGACATGCTAGTAATGTATCTTAATTACTGAAAATGTGTTTAAAAAATAATGTAAGGTATTTTATAGAGAATATTTGTTCAATCATTTTTGCTTAAAATATGAATTTGTCGCTTTTAATGCTAGAATTCTTTTAACTACATTCATGTGATGTGAATTTGTGTAATTTATTGCACATGAAAACTGTATTGCTTATTTTTATTTAAATAAAACATACTAATGTGTAATGACCTCCTTTTGTAGGTATTCCATTCAGTAGTGGACAGCCGTTGGGCCTCTGCTGCAACACATCAGCTCGTTGGAATAGTGACCTATTATGGGAAGCATTATTCAACATTTTTCTTCCATACCAAGTTGAGAGTGTGGATTTATTTTGATGATGCTGCAGTGAGAGAGGTTGGTTGAGTCAAAAGTATATATTAAAAATGCATGTATTATTTAAATTACTAAAAACTATTCAAATTAGAATTTTGTTAAATTTTATAGTATAGAGTGTTTTAGAAAACAGAGCATATATTACGTGAAATTTAGAACCTAATTTAAAAAGCAAATTATTGCAATGAATAAATTTTTATTTTGAATTTATTATATTATAAAATGTCCATTTAATAGAATTTTCATTTTGTTATGTTATTGTTGATTCCAGTAGAGCTGAAACACATGTCCAAGTATTTAACTCTTCTACTTTTTAATAAATGGAATTTATTCTATCTTGTTTAAAGATTGGACCAAAATGGGAACAAGTAGTTGAAAAGTGTTGCCGTGGCCATTTTCAACCCTTACTTCTATTATATGCCAATCCTCATGGATCTCCTGTGAATACATCAACGGCTCCACGAGTAGTGACACTTGTTTCAGGTCACAAGAAAAATGTAACCGGTAATAACTATTTTTTTTTCTTTGAAAAATGTTAACATTAAATATATATAAATTCAAAAACAGGATGTTATGCTTAGATTTATTTTAAAATAATTGTAGCAATGAGCAGTTCTGAAATTTGTGTCCTATTTATTATTTGAAGATTATTGATTCCTTTAATTCTAAGGAGTCTCCAGTTCCTGCACTATGTATTTAGAAGCTATTATAGTATGCTGTGCATCAGGTTCATTAAAAAGCAATTTTCAAGCAAAACGTTTTGTCGCTTTGGCAGTGATATCCATGTATTTTTGAATGGCAATTTGACTGCAAGAATAGATTGAGAGACCTGGTAATCACTGCATGGTCTTCCAAACCATTTGATATTTTCTCCATGAGAGCTTTTTATAAACTATGTGTATGTAACATCTGTGTGTATCCTAAATAAATGGTTACACTGTTTAATTTTGGCAGACAGTACTAGGGATATCCATCTAAGCTTCATTCCAGTTTCCATCATTAGCATCTGGGATTTTGATGATATCCTAGAATTGGAAAATAAAATCCTGGAACGTCATATTCCTCTTTCTCTATCCTCTTGAAAGGACTTTTTGATTTTAAATGCTCCCATTCCATAAAGACATTTTGTTAATATATTTGCCTTAGTTAATATTTGAATGTTAACCAGTAGACATGGTAGTCACTCTTTACAAACTCCATATCCAATATGATGAGGCTCTGCAGAATGGGTTAATAGAGTATCGGAATTCATTGTGCAATCAGACCCAACTCCATTGTCTGGCCCTCATTGCCAGTCCTACATTTTCCTGCTGCTGTGCATTAAATCTAGCTGTTGTAGTCAATGTTGTATTATAACAAGATGCTTCTTTCTTCATGGATTGAGATAAAAAAACGTAATATATTTACTAATGGTGTGCTAATAGTGGAGCTCATTTTGAAGTTAATTATGTATGGGAGAAAATTTTTTCTTGAGTTTTTATATCTGAAAGAGTATTGCTGTAAATTATGATAAGCCTTTTTTTTTTTTATTGAGCATCATAAGCATAACATCTTGTGTTTATTAATAGGAAATTAGTTTTGTCTAGCTCAGTTGCATTTTTATGTTAAAGTTTAGAAACTTTAAGTTGTAATTAACTTCTAATGTATGAATTTTTATTATTATAGGGAAAGACACTTGCAGTATTAATTTGGAACACTGTAACAATCAAAGACGAGCACTTACGCCAAATCCAGAAGTATCTTGTGATCTCAGTGCAAATATTCAACCCAGAAGAGCTGTTACTCCTAGTGGTGAATTATCGTGGTGTGATGACAGTCCAAAAGAGCAAAATAAAATTGTTGAATCCATTATTCCCTTTAGTACGCACTCAAAAGAAAATTCTCTGACATCTACCAGTGTAACATGTACAAATTATCATGAACCTTATCAAACTATACACAGTGGTGTCAGAAACCCAAATCAGTTATGTCCTCAAAGTATTATGCTTGAAAATAGCATTCTCAAACCCAGTAGAATATCAACCAGACTGTCTATACCTAACTGTGCATTTTATTCTGAACTGTACGAATCCAAAGTTAATGGAAATACAATTGGAAACAACAATCTCAATCGTCCAGCATCTGTAGATGATATTCTCCAAAATTCTCCAAGGACAAATATGAATTCAGATGCAACAGAGAAGGCTGTTTATCCCCTTGATAACACACTAGAGCTGAACCCTATTGCAATAGATGAACATGTGGGAGATGGTACATATATTAGTCGCCAAACTGTGGAAAATGTGTTACACCTACAGAAATTACAACGGCAAAGATCTGTGAATTGCAAGACTGGTAACATATATTTAGGACAAAGAAATAGCAGCAGTAGTTTAGAATCTCTGGATAATGTTTTTGTTTTTCGAGATAAAAATTTGAATGGGCAGCTAAATTTGAAACTGGACTTATTCGATTCATCTAATATTGCAAGGAGAAGAGATTCTGGGAACTGGAGTGGGGATAGAAATAGTGCCAGCTCTTCCAGTACCACATCATTAGATAATCCTTACTTTTATGTAGTTGGAAACAAGAGGTATGTTTATATTTTAAAGTTTCTTGCTATTATTTCAAAATGCATTTAGAATAAACTGAGAATTATATTTATCTTTTAAAATTTGTTAGTTGTATGATAGGAATGTTCATTACATGATACTTAACTTGATCGATGTAGCTATGTGGGCATGCCTAGTTTACATCCAACTTCATTTGTTAAATTTGTTTTGAGAATGTACAGTGTGCATTTCTACTTGTTGCTGTGAAAACAAAAAATTATTATTTTTTAAATCTTAATGTAATACTTTCATGAAAGTGAGAACTCAGGAAATATATCATAAAAAAATTATTTGATATTACTCTTTTTAGCAATATATGAAGAAAGATAAAATAATTTTTGAACAGCACTAAAAGAAGTAATAACTGAAAACTAAAGTAGTTACTTATTTTATTCTTATCATTTTTTAATTGTCCAATATTCAAAAGGTAAAGAATATTTGTTCAGTTCTCTTAACATAATTTAAATTTTCTGCATTATAGAGATTTTTAGAAGTGGTAAAAATATCTGTGCAGAAATCTATATCACATATTTTTTTGGGAGGTATTTTTAATGTTTCTGTATAGAATAAAGACAGCTTTGTGGCCACCACACGGCTTTCTTATGTGACCTGTTAAATTATACATGTTTTTTGAAGCACTTCATTTAAATTATTTGTTTCTTCAGATTATTTCAACTTAATTAGCCAATCCCTCATGGCAAGTTGAGAATGACACCAAAAACTGCAAATTTTGGAAATAAAAGTTATAATAATTTTTGTTGTATGGCAGTCAAACTTCTTGTATTTTTAATTTTTATTAGCAAGTATAAAACTGTCCCAAATATAAGTGTAGGCACCAGGAGACCACATAAAAATTTAGATTTCATTATTTTCATCATTTAAAACACTTCTGTAATTTGAAGTATATGATTACGACCAACGATAATAAAAGCCTGGTATGTATTTTTAAACCTGGTAAAGGGAGTAAGTACATATATACTTTTGGTAATGCCAAATTGCAATAAAAAAGGGAGGTGTACAACTAAATGTTATAAGAGTCCCATATATAAAATTTCAACATTCTACTGCCAATTGTTTTTGAGTAATGTGAGATACCTACAGACATTGTGTAAAAATCAGCGACAATGATACGAAATTCATGTGTGCAGTTCTCAGCAGAGTGCAGTGTTCAAGCTGTTACATGGTGTGAGAGGGCACTAAATCAGTTTTCAGATTAAATTAATATTAGATATTAAATTTAGTCATGTCGTATTAAATTTTTTATTGTTCTTTATGATCTATTATTGCAGAAGCAATAAGTCATTTAGTTATGGGTGTAGTTGACATTACAAGAATCATAACTTACTGGCTAGTGTCAAGGGATTTTATTTAGCATTCTGCAACCAAATTCAGGCAGGCTGATGGACCAGCCAGGTAGATGTAATCTGATTACTCCTCTGACATCATTGAATCAGAGATCGTAAAGTACAATAACAAAAATTAAGAGGGCATGACTAATTTAGTCTGCAAACTGATTTAGACAAGGCAAGATCTCAGAATGCTCTTAAAGTCTCGACTAGAGAGATTCTTGCTTCTAGCAAGATCCTTACATAATGAGGATAATAAACTAAAATAATTGTTTCTATGCCTTTAATGTTGTTATATACCGTATTAGAACTTCGCATAGATTTATATTAAACATATTGTTGTTCTGTATGCAATAATTAATAACAATCATAACCTACACCAGTTATGACATGGAGTCGTGCTATTAGAGTAACATACCATTTTAACCCCATATCCATTTTGAATCCATTTTATAATTCTTTTTGCAAAAAGGAGTCATTTATCCTGTCTGTACTTACAGATGTCAGGCAAAAAATAGTCGAAAGGATATTTCTGTTGAACTTTGATAGCTGAAATGTTTCGCAATTGCAATATTTCCTTCATACAGTGAAGTAAAAAGGGAACTTTCAGTTGTCAAGTGAAAAAAATAGTAATCTATGCCCCCTTTTCTTTAACTTTTATAAAAACTTTAATGAAATTTCCTCATACTGATAATAAATAAATATGAAAAAGACTATAATTAGTGCAATTGATATAACATTAGAAAGAAAGTTTTATTTCTGTGTAAGACAAATGCTGTGATAATGGAGGACTTATTACTTTCTTTTGAGGAGCTTCTGCTAAAGATGGTTTTCATATATTTTTGTAAGAAAATATCGGGATAAAAGGATATTAATTTTGAATACTGTAAGAAAGGATTCTTTTATTTTTGACTCATAAGATACTACAGAATTTTTTTGAATTACTTAGGAGATTATTTACTTTCAGAACTTAAATTTGTGTTAAGTAAGAAATATATAGCTGAATTTCTTAGAAAATATTTAATGTAAAAAAAAAAAAAAAATATTGATTGCATTCCAGAGTGCCCAGCTGTGTTAGAAATATTACAAGACCAGGTGAACCACCTACATTGACGGATCCCGGGTATGATTCTTTCTCCTTGTCCAGTTCTGACAGTTATCCATCAGCTGTGACTAGTTCTCCAGGAAAGATGGACTCTAGGCTGGGCCAGATTCCTGAAAATGTGCAAACAGCTTTTGTTCCGTATGACTTATCTCAGTTACAGTATTGCTTAAAAGACATGAAAAGCAATGAGCATTTTCCATTTGGTAAGTTTTTATGTTATATATTATTTTATTGATCTTGATGTGAGGGAAGGGACATTTTTTCTTTTCTTCTGTTTTTTTTTTTTTTTTTTTTTTTTGGGGGGGGGGTCCTATTAACTTTTATTGTAAGGATAATTTCTTTTTCCAATTTATCATGTATATTTATATTTTTCAATTTCATGCCTTATAATATGCATTTCTTTTCTAACAATTTTGAATGCCCACCAATGGGAAGACAGCTAAAATCATTTAAAGTGGATAGTTCATTCAAGATTTTATCCTCTATCTTTGAACAGGGATTTTTATGGAACAGGGATCTACATGGGATTTTTATGCATTTCTCTCTATTACCTATTTTCTTCCACCAAGGCATAATTTCTTTCATATTTTCTTTCATCAAGGCTGTATAGTTTTTCTATCAAGGCATCCTTTCTAAGGGAGATGCCATTGGGTACTTTATCACAATAAACAAGCTAACACAAGGCATTCGTCATTTTGCTTTTCTTCATATTTAATTTGAAAGCAAATTTTATCTTTCATCTATAAAAGCAGACTGATTGCTTGATTTAATCAGCTGTAAAATTAATTTTTTTATTATTAATTTAAGCACATAATTTAAGGCAGACTGATGGATATAATTCTTTAAAGATTTATCCTCCGAATTTTAGATGAGAAATTTGTGAGTAGGGAGATAATACATCTAAAGTGTGTTAAGTCGCTACGTTATTTAATTCTTGTATATATTTTGATCTTATGTTTTTTATGATAGGTGTAGTGTTAGAGTGAAATTATCATATTCTCATAAGAAACATGAGATAAAAATATACAAGAATAAAATTCATGTTTGAATTTTTCTATTTAAATACAGCATTAAGAATTTGCTGTCTTAATCTTTATTGCTGAATAAGCATTAATTTGCTTATCTTGGGAAGGTTTAAATTTGCTTTTATGGATAATGCAGGCTTCTGATGATAGTGATTATGTATACTTTTTAAAAATAATCAACATTTTAATGATGTTTTGTTACAGGTTTCAAAGATGAATGTGATAAACTTTGTGCTGAAGCTGACATTTTTGTAGCCAAATCCATTGAGAGGGAAAATTCTGGAGATATATCAATGGCTGCTTTACTAAGTGATACTGCTGCAGGTATGCTACTATTTCAAATTTTCACTTATAAATAAATCATAAAAATGAGCAAATTTTAATTGGACTGCACCTAAATTTTGAATTCCAAAAGAAAGAACCAAATAAGTTTCATTAAGAAAAGAGAGATATTAGTAATTATATACCAAGTTCAATTAATATTGGGAACTAAAATTTTGACCTAATTTTTTAAAAATGAAATTTATGCCTAATTTTTTAAATGATATTTATAAAACTTGGCACTTTGCCGAGATGTAGAATCAAAATATGGAAAAGAAATTATATGTTATTTCTGAAAAAGTTCCTATTTTATGTCAAAATATCTAACTCATATTCTAAGTCTTGCTTTCAAGACATGCAACACACAAGTGGAATTTTGTCATTCGGCCTAGTAGAACGGGAGATATGGAATTGTCCACTTCACTCAGCTTTTTTGGAGGGCAGGGGGCTTTCAGTACATGTGGATTATGCATTGTATGTTTTGGGTAACTTGAAGTCTTATTAAACAAACAGTGCTTCTGATAACATTGATAATAGTATGCATTATTTGTGCATAGGATTTTTGTCACTCTGATAATATTTTTATTTATATAGAGTTATTAATTCTTCTTATCCATGAAAAAGAAAAAGAAAACATAAAATATAATTGTACTAAATATTTGAGTAACTGCAGTTTCATTTACCAAGGCAGTGACATAGATATATAAATTTTAACATGTAATACATACATTTAAATATGTAATACAATAATTTAAATATGTAATGATTTGTGAAGCTTGATAAAAGTAATCTAAGAAACGCTTTTATTTGATTTTTTTATAATCTTCCTAATTTATGCCCAACATTTTAGAAATATTTTTAACTTTACAGAAGCACCTGAACTGTTTTTGTGTTGGTGTGTTCTAATGTATTCAGCAATTAAAAGATCAAATGCTTTCAAGTTTTATTACATTTCTTGCACTACCTAATGTACTGTTCTGAATTTTTTTAAATTTGACTGTTTAGTTTTACTGTTTTTCTTTTGGCGATATTTTTACGCCTGATCAAATTCTGTAATCAATCTCTTTTTTTTTTTTTTTTTTTTCCCAAAATGGCGGGTGGCGGGCACTTGCCTGTAATGGCATTGGCCACTACTAAGGCCAGAAGTGGTAGCCATTTTATTGTGGAGGCACCTAATAGGCGGCCACCATTACCTCTTATGAAGGGACAGACAATTTTACAACCATGCTTTCTCTGGGATTCGAATCCGGGCCCTTTGGTATCGCAGTCAGGCTCCCCTAACCACTAGACCATCTGGGCGGCTCAATCTCATGTATAACATCAGTCTCAAGCTTAAAACTACGATTATCCTAATATAATATTTAAAAAATTTCATCATTATACTCATTAGATTCATTAATTCTTTATCCAGTGAATCTTGTATAAGTGAAGTTTGTAAAGGCTGATTATACTTTGTAGCTGACACAGCAAAAACCTTCCACTCACATCTTCTAGTTTAAGGATTCTTAATGGTAGGGAATTTGACCCAATAGGAGAAATGTTCAGTACCATATAGATTGACACAGGGTAACAAAGGCTTATCACTCCCCTCCCCCCCCAAAAAAAGGAAAGTTGAGGTGAAATTACATGATCCAGGTTTGCAAAAGTTAAATTTAGATACCGTATAAGTGACGTATAATCAGTAAGAACCTTTTCTTGTTATACTCTCTACAAAAATTAATAAGCATATAAATAACAAGTACTAACTGTAAAAACTGTTTGAGCTTGTTTATTTTGTATTAAAATTTTTAAGAAAATATATTTTGAAATTTTACGTATTACTTGTAAGGCACTGCTAAAATTGGAGAAGGAATAAAGCAATAAATGTGTTAAAACTTTCAAGAAAATATATTTTGAAATTTTATGTATGACTTGTAGTGTACTGCTTAAATTGGCGAGGGAATAAGGGAATAAATGGTTGAGAAAGATTGATATATTGTGGAAAAAACAGGGCACTGCAAAGCTGTTCAAATTAATGAAAGCCTGAATTATAAAAAGTATTAAAACTATTTTTTTCTTAATTGAGAATTTTAATAGTTACATTTTGTTCAAATTACCTAGTCTTGAATTTTTGGAAGTTCAGTGTATTTAGGATTATAGGAATATTACACAGGTTGTTGATAGCAATTTGTACTATACCAGGTTACAGCAGATATTAGAAATGTATTCCAGCCTGAAGAGGTAACTAGATACAACTCTTGAGTTTGTGTGTCATTAAAGCCATGTGCAAAACATTGTTATTTATGAATGGTTAGCTCTCACATTAAACTCGCATATTCTTGTTCTCTCAAAGTTACTGATTTGGCAAAAAATATGAGAAATGGTTTAAGAGTTACCATTTATTAATAATATAAAGCTAATGCCTGTGACAATGCAATGAACCACAAGTCCAAATATTTTTAATTCATTACAAAGCCTGAACTCTTTATAAGGTAGTTTTCATATAAAATATCTTAATTTGTAACAAATAAATGTATAAGAAGAAATCTCTCATAATTTTTCTTTGTATAATTGATGAATTTTCTTCTCCACTTTAATTACTTAATAAATAATAATTTATAAAACATGAACATTTTAAAAAGTGTAACAATTAATAGAGTGAGAAAATGTTTGCTTTCATTATTTTTTTATCTGCTGGTATTTCTGAATAAGAACCAGAGACTGAGAGCTTTGGTTTTTTTAAAGCCTTATTGAAAGATACTTTATGATGCTTTATATTTTGGCTGATGAATTTAAGTTCTTTGGCTGATGAATTTAAGTTCACTAATTGATATAGCATATTTAACATACAGAAACTATTTTTTGAAATCTTATAATGCTAATATTGTGTAACAAAATAGGATTTATGCTCCTGTTTTATTTGCAGCAAAAGCAAGAGCAGCTATGGATGTACCTTACACTAATAGCCAAGCTCTGGCTATGGCTAAAATGAAGCACAGTATGTGTCTTATTAGGTCATCAAATTTACACAAAAAATTGAAAGAAGCAGAAGCAACAATGCGGCGAAAGCAGAAAGAATCTTCTGAATCTTCTCGAAACCAGCAGAATGGTATTAACAACTCTCAGATTACTTCTGATGGTAATTCTCATTGTGGCAAAATAGTATTTGAAAATTCTCATAATGATAATTCTGTAGAAAAAAGCGCAAATGCAAATCAAAGTACTGAGCCTCCAAATTCTGATAAAAATATTGAAATATATGCTACCCTTCCAAAAAGGAGTCTGAAGAAGAAAGGAGCTTTGTCTTCATTTGTGGAATCATTGACTGGTGATGACAGTTCTGATGAAAAAGTTCACAAGGACAAGCATAGTTCCAAGCTAAATGAAGAAAGTAATAAAAGTGATAAAAAATCTGACTCTAATAATGTAATGGAAAAAGATCAAAAAGTATCAAAATCACCAAATGGTAAAAAGAAAAACCATTCTTTTGCTAAAGTGAGCAACAAAGAATCTGATCTTAGTGATTACTCAAGTGAATGGGAACAGACAAAAAAGCCATCTTTGTACAGAACATATTCTGGTCCCACTTCAAATTCAAAGAATGAACTGTCTGATCTTAGATCTACTAACACACAAACATTTACTGATCATCCCACAAAGAAACAACATAAAATTCGTCGGAAGTTAATGGGTGGTTTTATGAGACGCAAAAACCGTAGTCTGCCTGATCTCCGAGAAGGTCAAGACTCGGGGAACGAAGCTACTAGATCTTTTGATGACTGTTTCTTCAACCAGACACCAATATCTTGCAGGAAGAGGCAAGAAAAAGAAAATTCACAATTTTCTCACTCAGAAAACTCGGAAAATAATTCCCATAACTTTAAGAAAGTACCTGAGGCCTCTCATGCAGTTAACGTTCCCAAGTTGTATAAGAAAAATATTTCAAGAGCACATACACCTCCACCATATAAACCACCTCCACCAATAGCACATTCACACCTCAGTATTTCTCCGAAAAAGACTGTTCAGCATTTTAATACAGATTCTAAACATGAAATTATTCCACAGCATTGCATAACTAATTCAGTAATTCCTTCTTCTTATCAAGACTTCTCAGCTAAGCCAAGAAATATGCATCATCCTGTGTTGAGCCGTGAATCTAAAAGCCATAAGAAATTGAATGATCAACATTCATTCCAAAATCATGATGAAATATCATCTAAAAATGTTGCATGGCTAAAAGAGTTACAGTTGAAACAGGAAGAAATAAATCAGAGGCGGAAATTACAGGAGGAGAAAGAAACCTGGAAAACTGAATATAAAGCTGGAGCTGACGAACAATCAGGTGGGTTGTGTATTTTTTGAATACTTAAGTTGAAACTAAGCTTTCTCAGTCTCAAAAAAGAGTAAAAAGTAAAGCGTTCCTATTTCATAAAATGTTATAGTGTATATGTTAAAAATATGTTGTACAAAATTAATTATAAGTAAATAAATAAAACTAAAAAAAATAAAGTTTTAGCCAGTATTTATCAATTATAGTTTGAATATTATGCATTTTTGCTTTTTTGCTTGATTATTTGCTTGGAGCATAAATATTAAAAACTGTAAATTCTATGTAAATTTTGGAGAGCTTGTTTAAGAACACTTACATCTGACTCACATATATATTCCTTAACCTTTTGACGCGTGGTGGTCGCGCCCTGAAACCACCATTTTCCGAATTTTTTTCCTCCTCTTTTTTCCGAAATTTTTGAGTGAAAATGAATTGATTACTGATCTTTTACATCTAAATAACACAAAACGACTGTAGAATCATATATGTTTTAGGTATTAATACTTCAGATCGGATGCCTTTTAAAATTCGTTTTCGATGAGACAAAATAACTTCCTTTTATTAATATAAACAACTTTAAATTTCAAAAGGTTTAGTCATCGCACATTCATGATTTCTATCATAAACAATAAAAAATTGCAGTAATTCAAGCTGCATATATAAAAAAAACCTCTATATTGTATGGCATTTGCTATGTGGTTTCAGGGCGCGACCCACTAAGCCAGCTAGAGTATTGTGTCACAGTGCTTCACAATCCTCTAGAGGCTCGGTGGTCATGCGCCTTGAAACCACTGGCGTTTGCTTCTTCTCAATGGCGTTTGTTGGCTTTTCAAATAGGAATGTTTATTTTTTCCCAGATATAGATAAAAAGGGCTTTGAAACCGCAGAGTTATTTTATTACTAAAACAATACATGCACCTGCCCAGTGAAAAAGGTCTTTCTTTTCCAAATACTTTTTCTCTGACATCAACACACTTGCTTCCTTGCTCCACAAGCTAGTATTATTTTTTTATAAATTATTTTCCTGTGGTTTAAATTAATGTAAATATACTTTGCTATAATTAAAAATAGAAATTGCATAAAAGTTTTATTTAAAATAAAAATATTTTCTGAATATTTTGGAATGAAATATGAATAAAGTAAGTATGAATGGGAAACGAACGATCCATACAAAGCCAAAAAGACCAAGCCCCCCCCCATTAACATAAAAAAAACCACAAATTTCATGTGCCAGATGAAAAGAAACTAAATAACGCTGGACACATACCAGTGAAATTTAAATCCAGGCAGTGCACATTTTGTAGCACAAGTAAGAAACCTCATAGAACAAGATATGTGTGCGAAACGTGTAATGTTGGTCTATGCATGTTACCAAAGAGACAAAACATGCTTTGAACAATGTCACAAAAAAAAATTGTTCTTTGAAATTAAAAAAATGACACTGAGTTCTTTTTTATCCTTATTTTATTGAGTTTTTTAATCCATTTATCCAAATGTCCTTATTATGTAGGTACTTATATTTTCACTGCTACAGAAAAATTACATATATGTTTATTTTTTAATTTTTTCTGACGATTTACTTTGTAAAATAATGTAAAAAAATATATATAATGCAATTCTTACATACATTTTTTAAAATCCATAAATTTCATCATTTATTGGAAATGCGCACGGAAAATGGTAAGTTTTTTTTCCCTACTACAGTCAAAAGTCGTTAATTCGGACACCCATAATCCGGAATGATCTATAATCTGGACCTCAAAACTAAAAACTTTCTGCTCATGCGTTGCGTTCACGCATGCGCATAGGCGTTTACGCGTGCACGTAAGAACTTTACGGCTGCGAATATACATGTGCGCATGTGCATAATACATTTACGCATGTGTGTTTAATGTATAACGGATGGTATAAGCTAAAATTATCTAATTATCTATTTCAGTTAATGTTGCAGATTGCGTTGTTCTTTAATCTTCGAATTGGATCCGGCTTATTATTTTTTGCAGACTGTTGGAGCAATTTTATAAAAGTAAGCTTGAACTTCCGATTATGTCAAATAGAATTTCCGATATATATTTACTAATATGTAAAGGATCTACAAAGCGAAAGTATGTTTCGAAGTCCATTAAACAGAAAGTGGAATTGCTGCAAAAAATGGATAAAGGCATATTCTTTGATTATCTAATCATTCCGAAATATGTTTATCAATTTCACGCTGCTCTGGGGAAGGGAAACAACACGACGTGCAATGAATTGGAAGTTGATCTGTCAGCACTATCCTTATCTTCAAGGCAGATGTTTTTTATTTTATTTGGCTTATAATTCTTTACTAAATGTCAGGACTTAGAAGGGAAGGGCTAGCTCATAGAGCTTTTCCCCCTGAAGCAGAAAGTGAGAAGGGATGACGTAGCCATGATGACACTGAGCGCGCCAATATAATTCACAGCTTGGAAATGAGCGTTTTTGAACCAGCGTTTAAAATGAGCTGTGTGTGAAAGATAGCTATAATTTGGAAGAGGCAATGTTACTGCATTATGCATTTTATACTGAACCATTAAAAAGTACAATAATGCTTACTCAATTTTAAAATAATAGATAAAATGTGCTACTCTTTTAACATAAAGTTCCGTGGTTTTTTTTTTTTTTTTTTTTTTCCCTATTTTTATTTGCAGGTTTTTTTTTTTATTTAATGCATGTTTATTTTTAATCATTTCTTTATTTGCATGCTAACTCAAGGAATTTTTATACTGCTTCTAAGGTAACTATAATAGCAGCTATTTAAATTTACTCAAAAAACAACTTTACATTGACATAGGTTTAAACATATATGACATATATGGCAACATTTCTGCTAACCTACATTTGATTTTTTGCCTAATTGTAAATTTTACATTGTTATAATTATCTTCTGATTCAATATAATAGATATTTTTAAAATAATGTTGTAATTTATACTTATATCTATATTACAATTAAATAAATGTATATAAGATTGTTACCTTAATTTTGACAAAATAGCTTTATTCAGAGTACCTTAAACAGTTATTTAATTTTTCAAAAGTGTGAGTAAAGGAAGCAGATCTTTTTATGCCAATTACTTTGATGTTTTATACTATTATATTTTATCTAGAATGCTAATCTAGCACAAAATCTAATCAATAATTAGTTACATAGGATACAATAAGAATAACTTTAACAAGTACTTAACAAAATTAGTTTGTTAAATACTTGTTATTCTTGTTGGTACTATTTTGGTACTATTCATAATACCGAAGATATTATCGATTAACTCATAGAAGTCAGATGCTTTCTGATTTCCTGCAGGGTAGAGTATACCTTTTGCAGTACTTTTTGAAAATAATGTTTTCTCTGGAGCGACTTTTTGTCTCTCGTTTCCCTTGACCATTAAATAATTTGGTTTTAGTTTGTGACCCAATTTGATTTCTTCTCAATCTCTATTTAAAACCTCTTTAATAATATCAAAATTTAAAACAGTTACATCTAAAACAATTCCTCTATCTAAAACGCAGTTTCCCAGTAATTTGAGGCAGAGAGTGAAATGAGACCTATGATTAAAACAAACTGCACATTTTGAAAAGAACCAACTTAGTCCAGTTTAGAGACATAGCAGAGTTTTCAATCTATATGCATTTCGTCGAAACTGAAAACGCATATTTTTTCTGCACAATACAAATATTCGCCTCTTTCCTTCTTTAGAGTAAGAACATTACTTTGAATTCTTGGACTACACTAAAATTTAGAAAAGACTAAAAAAAAACACCATTTCTTTGATAATACTAGGTAAAGATATTCCAATTTTTTTCTTAATTTTTTTTCTTTCCAAAAATCATAGCTGTAAGATGACAGAGCTCTTATGACAATGCAACGTGAAATATTTTCACTAGTCCACCTGATTTTTTTCCTTCTTTTTCAGTAATGCATTAATCTGCGTCTTTATAAAAATAGGCTTTAGACATTTTTCCAAATTCTCGATTTGTGCTCCCCCCCCCAAATTTCGCTATTTGAGATTTTAATTTCTGATACCAATTTCTGTCTAGATGTCGTTCCACCTTCTTTGTCGCTGAACAAACATTCTAAAATTTTTCTTTTCTCTATTTTTTCAATACTTTAATACAATTTAATACAATTTTCTAAGGATATTATTTTGTTCTTCAAATTATCAATGCATTCTTGTTTATCCTTAAACTTGGAGTATTTCAGGGATGATCTACATTTTCATTTGTGAGTTTTATTTCAAAAATCATATTTGATTTAACATTGCCTTCATCAGTTTAGTTTTTGGCCTCAAAATGATTTTCTTTGGGCTTAATTATTGTTTTTCAAAAGTATCATCATTTAGCTTCCTTTTCTCTTTTCGATTTCTTGGATTATTTGTTTCATGCACATGGTAAATTTACTTTCGGCACAGCATTCCATTTTCAACAGTTTCTTTTTTGTGGCTATCCAAACAAGCGTGATTTTTCATATCATCTTCATAAACACTGCATAGAAAATGTTCGCTGCAGATTTTTTCCGCTCTTCACATTAATAGAATCTTCTCTTTGACATTTGTGTATCCATTCTTTTCGTCAAAAGCAAACTCTCATTTATATCCTTTGGTTCCCATGAAATAAAATATCTCATCCTTTCATACTTCCTGTAAGTGTTGCTACGGCACGTTACTGACAGCGCAAAAAGCCATATTACGTAAACGATACTTTACAATATAGAATTTAAAATAGGAAAACTGACTAAAATTACATATATATAAATTATTTTAAATATATGCATTAGAAAACAGATATATATATTATTAAAATTAATTTTGGGATATTTAACCTCTAGAAAATCGTCTCGCAGCTCAATGAAACTACTGTTTTAAACGCGGGAAATCAGGACAGGTGGCATCACAGTGATGTCAGATTATTGCCTGTTTTGTCCCCCCATTAGGCTCGCGTCGGCGAGGAGTCGAACAAAGAAATGAGCTAGCCCTTCTATTTATCCCTGACTAAATATAGTATTTCATCTCGATGTACTTGGTCTTTGATATGATTTAAATCAAGTTCCTCGTCATTATAATTCACTTCCGATAGTGAAGAAAGTGACTCAGAGCTTATTGAAAATGAAAAAATTTCGATTGACAAATTAGTCAGCATTCTCGACACAGCAATTATAGGACTTGAACAGCGGAACTTTGTAACTAAACAAAAAATTATGTCTGTTTAATAGAATTAAAGAGAAAGTATTATCATATGAAATGAAGCAAATTAAACAACTTACATTGAAAGAAATGTTTAATAAAGTAAACAAATAAATATTTAGCTTTTTCTTTTTGTAAATTTTGATACCCTTTAGATCATAATTGCTCTTTATTTCATAAAGTACGGTTTCATATTTTTAATTTTATAATTTCTGCATGCCATCCTACCAGATTTAAACTGATGATCTATAATCCGGAATCGCCGAAGTCCCACCGCGTGACCACCACCCACAGAACAGTGGGCAAGAGTAGATTTTTTTTATTCATATATTATTTGTCTCTAGGATCATAATATTCAATTTCTAGAGTTTTTAGTTAAAAAAATTATAAAAATAATATCGTGTGCGTCAAAGGGTTAATAAATGAAAATTTTTGCTCTAAATATTTGTTAATCTGGATGTCACTAAGAATTTCAATTAAGTTACTTTGTACAGCGTTTGTTTGGAAAGTAATGAGACTGATTCTGCTAGAAAGAATTTATTAATCTGATCGGTAAATTTGTTAAAATTTGTCGAAATAGTCTCATTGAGCATCACTACATCGCTGCCAATGCAATTCCTATCGTGACCGTGATCATTGTCTTGCCTTCTAGCCTGAGCTACATATGAGCTGTTGCCAGAAAAAGTTAGGTGCGCCGTAAGGCTTTTACAGTTGTAAGGTGAGCGGGTGAAAACACCCCGCTGTTAGGCGAAAATCAAAAGATGCACAAAGTCAAGATTCAGAGTTGAATTGTAGAACATTGAATTTGAATAAAATGCGAAAGCATACAGTAGTTTTCCCAAATTGCAATGAGAAGTAAAAAGTTCATCTCATGCAGGTGTGCTGCCATCTGTTGGTCCTTCCATAAGTGGGTGCGAAATCCAAATTTAAGCTTAGCTGCTAGGATCTTGTGGCTCCATCTATTGTTGAGTGCAGAAGCTGGCTGGGAAAAGAGATTTAGGCCTAGTTAAAAAGTCTCATATGCTGCCATCTATTGGACAAGTCTGAAGTAGTCTAATTTTCTTCGGCAAATTTCATCATGATCATTGCTGCTTGGAACCCCGCTTTTAACTTATCTGCTGGTGTTTTCACTGCTTGAATTTGTCTGATTTGTGCAATTCTCGTTTTTAGGAAGTTAGATATCTTGTCATCACTCAGCCAAGTGGCTGCTTCGTTTAGATCCTCGGGCTCTTGAAGCTTCTTCTGACTGTAGGAAATCTTGGGCACGCTTGACTTATCTGGGTTGTCTGTTGTTTTTATCATTTCAGGGAAATTTTCTTGATAATTTTTAGGAGCTGTTGGCTGGGGTTTTTGCGTTTTCTTTTCGAATCTCTTGCGATATTCACTGCATCCACGATAACTCGATACATGATCTAAATTGCAAAAAATGCATTTCGCTTTTTCTTCTCTTTTAAGTTGACAGGTATTACTCCGGTAATTCTCTCCGCATTTGCAGCACCTCTCAGGTTTATTGCAATGCATTTGTGAGTGTCCCCACTCCTGTCTTTGGTATCATTGTACCTGTCTTTTTCTTGGCGTATATTTCTCGATGTTGACTGAAAAACTGAAAACATTGCTTAAGTTGTGAATTAAATGTCCCTGTTTCATTCTTAGTAAGTTCAAGTAGAAAAATCGGAAGTTTTTAGATGTTATCCTTACGTCTTTTTGTAAATTGTTTTACCTTTAGTATAGGATATTTTCTGCTCTCTAAATTTTTCAGGATAGCTTGTTTCTTCACTATAGCTGGGAGGCCTTTTAAAATAACTTTTAGTGGCTTTTCCTTATATGGCTGATAAGAGTGAAATTTAATTTTCTGTTGTAAAAGACTTCTGCATACGTTTTTGTAGTCAGTCATCATTGACATATAAACATAAATATACTTTGCTTTTAGTACAAATTCATATTCGTTTTTACATTCTTTCCTGAGAGTTTCATCCATATCTAGCCAGTCAATCTCATCATGCGGCAAGACAATGGGTGGTGGTTCAATGGTATTCAATGGGTAATTCGTGTCATTTCCTTCTGGTTGTTGGTCAATTGCTGCAAAGGCTCCCTATAAGTCAGCTGCCATAACTTCTTTTAGAGACTCTGTGACAGCCCATAGGATGGTGGTAACATTTTGGAAATGGTGACCTTTCAGCCTTCTCTTCAGCTTTGGGAACAGGAAAAAACAGCTGAAGCCTTCTCTTCAGCTGGGGACACGTCAGGAATGTACAATGGCTATGTCAAGGTTGTAACCCCTATTCAAGCCAGGTAGGCGGTCATAACAAAGGCTGTGTAGGCTAGAATGTTGTCATGATGGAGCTTCCAGTGATTGCAATATGCTGTCTGTTTTGTTTGATAGCTTTGTACTATCAAACAAATGCTATCAGCTCTATTTTCTGTTTGTTGGTTCTGTGAAGGCGTGACAGGACTTGTGTGTAGAAAATGGCATTAACAGTTTGTCTCGAAAGTACAAATTCTTTGTGGACCACTCTGTGCTTGTCAAAAAAGATAATGAACAATGCCTTTACTTTGGACTTTTTGGAAATTTTTGCTTTCTTGAGGTGCAGGAAATTCATGGTGTGTCACTGCAAACGTTGGCACTTGGTTTCGGGATCATACTGGAACACTGACGTTTTGTTGTCTGTTATTACATCATCTTAAAGGTCCAGTTCACTTTCTAGCTGTACCAGCATCTCACAGGAAATGCCAGCACATTGTCATTTCTGTTCATCACTCCAACACCTTTGGCACGAGTTTCGCACAAACCTTCAACATGTTCAGATTTTCACAAATAATTTTGTGAGCCATTGTTTTGCACATTTTGAGGTCTTTTGCAATTAATTTTACACTCAGACGATGTCGAAGCACAGGCAATTTTTTTTTTACTTTGGCCATATTTTCATCCAAACCACTCGCTGAAGTTTGTCCAGATCTCTCCATGTCTTCAATGGTCTCCTATCCGTTCTTGAACTCACTGAACCATCAGAAAACCTGGACCGTTGACAGGTGTTGCCTTTGGAAGCCTGAGTAACCAAGGCAAGCATCTTGAAGCGGTTTTGCCTAGGGAAAGAATTTAATGCCATGGCAGTGCTCCAATGAACGTTCCATTTTTGACATTTTCTACCATAACAAAAACTCAAAAACAGCTTTTGCACCATGCTTGATCCTCACTACATCAAAACTCAGATGCAACTTCCGCCCAGTGCATTACTTAACATAGACCCCCCCCCCCCCCAATAAATCCCGCCACTGAGGAGAGTGTTGCAGGTGCCATGCAAAATCCAGTTTCATTAATTTATGGACAATGTGTTCCAGAATATCCCTTTGAAGTAAATAATAATTTATTTTGTTGTTTATTAGTTGAAATAAGTCATTTTAAATATCTTTTCCTTTCAAAGTGTTGTATGAAATATGTAATCCAAGTGTAAAAGCTAAAAAATTACTAGTAATTTTTTATTAATATTAAAAATTATCTTAGATAGATAGATGATTAGTAAGGAAAATTATGTAAATTGAAAATGCTTATATTAAAAAAAGGATAAAACCATTCAGGTCACTACAATAATGCTGCAAATGTTTATAAAAATTATGTAGTTGTATATATCATTAATTGTATCATAGTTACATCATTAAAAATATAAAATGAAGACATAAGTTTTAAAGACGTACATTGATTGCTAAAATCACTACTCTAATAATTTTAAAGATAAATTAATGCCACATAAAATAATAGTACTGCGAGTATTGGCTATTTGCCTAAACTGCACACAAAATAGAGATAGTATGCTTAACACAGTATTTATAATCATCCTAATGTGAACCATAGAAAATAGGAATACTGTGCTTGGCACAGTACCTATAATCTCCTCAATCAATGTAAAACAAGAGTATTATATAATTCATCAGATAAAAGTAGTGTCTGGTATGTGCTTTATGGAGGTCCCCCCAAAACAATTTTTACTCAATTATTTATCATTTATTCTGGAACTTAATTATTAATCACTATAATGTGTTTAATGTTACACCTTGTATTCTGTTGCCATTTTTGATATTCTTACCCTGCCCTGATTGTGAAGTATTATTCTTACTTAATCTACATGGTTTTCCACTTTTTAATAAGCAAGAAATACATATTTTGCTTTGCTGAAGGTTAGGAAATGTTGCCTTCATTTCGCTTTGTGAAAAAGGATCATATATAAAAAAAATATGTACAATTTAATATCTATATGCTGTGTATGTGTCTAATATATATACATATTACGTCTAATTACCAGTTAGCTTGACATTTTCTTTTTCAATTAATATATATATATATATGTATATATAAGTAAACTTCATTTTATTTATTTAATTATTATTTTCAGTTTGCTCAAGCATTTTAGAAGGTGGACGAGATAGCTTGAGTAAGAATCAGATTTTAAATATGGTAAGTGTCAATATATATAAAATGTAGTAAGTGTTAATTAAATATCTGTAACGAAACTGGTTGTAACGAAAGTTTGGCTCCTAAAAAGTTCTTAATAAAGCTAGGGGAAAAAAAAAACCATGCAAGCATTACATGTAATAATCACCACCCAAATATATGATTTTCTGACAATGTTTTAGTAGTTTTTCAAAGCATTTGGCCTAGAAACTTGGTGGCCAAGTGTCCAAAAACAGATGAACATCGTTTTGGACATCCTGTGCAGAATGGAAGATAGCACCAGCAAGATGTAGCTACAGGTGTGAAAAAAGGTATATGATGGGTGTGGCAAAAGATCTTACTTGAATCCATATAGAGTCCAGACAGTGAATGCAGACACATCTGGTCTTACATTATCTGGATGGAACATTATCTTTTTGCTCTGGTACGCACTTCAATGTTTTCCCTTGATAACAAGCATTCAAGACGGACTATCATTTCACTGTACACCTTACAGTTGAGGATTTTACCTTTTTCCAGGTACTCTTTGTGGATATTACCATGGCAATTCCACCAGGTACAAAGCATGATTTTTTTTGTCAATCAAATTGCACTTGGCTATGCTGCCGACCTCCTTTTCACCCTGTGTTGTTGAAGTAAGTCCACATTTCATCAGAAGTGACAATTCAGTCCAGAATTTTGTCCTTGCATTGATAATCGAGCAAATTAGTGCAGGCCCGAACATGTCTGTCTTTATCTGTTTGAGTCAGCTTATGCAGCACCCAGCGACTGAATTTGTATGTCAAACTTGTGCTGTGCATAACATGACTAACAGACATGGCACTAACATCTAACTTCTTAGCAAGTTCTCAAGTGGTTGCATACTGATCTTCTTCTAGAGGTTCTTGCAGGTGGCCCTCATCAACATCAGTAGGCTAGCCAGAATGCTCTGTTTCTTGAATATCATAGTCCATATTTTTGAACATTTCGTACCAAAACTTCACAGTGTCATATGATACAACATTAGTACACAACATTAGTACATTAAATGCTTGATTTGGTAACATTATGTACCCAACTTTTTGCAACAGAAGTGGAAGTAAATGATGCCTTTAATATGGTAGCACAATTGTTCCAGTTCAGACACCTTGTACTTAATGGTAGTGATATTCTTTTGTAAATTCCACAACACTGTGTTCTAAAGCAAGTCTCTTTCTTTCAAATGCCAAAAATCATTTGACAAAATATGATTAAACATGCTAATGTGAACTGTTAACTTCTACTAAATTGATTCAAAACATCAGTTACTTTGCATAAAATTTCGGCCAGTTTTATTTTCTGAAATTCTTATACTCCTCAAGAGATAAAGGGAATTCAGACAAGTTAATAAAAAAAATTATCTTTAAAAAAGGAATGTTATTTTGTCTGTAATAAGGTGTACGTCAACTTACTATTAAATGTATGAGAATTAGGATTGGATTACGGAAAAGCATGTGAATGCTATCTGCTTAAGGGGATGCTTTCATGTAAACCTTTTTAAGAGAAAATTGCTCGCATTTACATTTCTGATGGAAAACTCCACATGTAATCAACCTGTTCTCTGGGTTTGATTGAATTAATTTTGTTTGCTTACTGAATTAAATCAAAGCACACAATAATTACCTGTATAAAGGCAGGGATGCTTTCGCAGAGGACTTTCTAAGGGAAGCTGGCTTGTCTTTATGTTACACAAAAACCATGAATACAACCCTTTAGCCGAGATTCAAACCCGGGCGAGCTACAAGTGTTCAGCCACCTTTACCACTCTACTGAAGGACCCGTAAAAAAATTGACAAAGAAAAAGTATTGAAATAACCAGTTTAATTTACTGACCTATATTTCTCAATCGACACTACGTAAATTAGGCATATGAAGGGATTATTTGTGAATAAATAAGCTGTATTTCACTTTTTTCCATTATTTCATATTATGATGGAATTATTCAGCATTTAAAAGTTATTTCTCATGTTTCTCAGTTTGCTCCATTCATGATTTTTTATTTTTCAAAGAGAAAATTTCACACTTTAAATAAAAAATACACAAGAAGATACTTTATGCAAAATTTGGCATAAACAGTTTTCTTAATTTTGTTTTGAAAATATTTCAGGGTAATCGTTTTCATTACTGGAAGAAATATAAAAAACAATTTACTACATGTAAGTATCAACACCCAATATTTCCTTATTCTTTTGAAAACGTGAAAGATTACTCTTTCTAAAATAAATTAGAAAATATTATGTGCAAATAGAATATTCGTTGAAAATGAAATAGACTTCAACTTTGGATATAACGATAGTTTTAGACGAAATTTCTACCTATGAAAGAAATTGACGTATAATTAATTCTTCATGAACATTTAAAACTGTTCTGAAAAAATCTTTTGATGATTGCATGTATAAGGTCACGATTTTTTTTCTCTGCTAACATAAACAAAAGCCAATTTTACAAAGAAAAAATTCTCGTTAAAGATATACCTTCTTTGCCTGATAGTCCAATGTAATATTTGTTAAATGATTAAATTCAACCAATGTATCTCGGATTTTCTTTTTTTATATTATAATAACAAAATTAAAAAAAAAAAAAAAAAAAAAAAAAGCAGATTTAAATCTCTGTTATTGTTATGTAAAGCTTTATTATTGCTGTAAGTTCATCTCAAAATCTAATTGTATTGAATCTCATTCTAATCATCTAATGGTAATAAATATTATAATATTATTATTATTATTTCATTAAATTAGTCATTACCATTATTTATTAATGAAATATGTTATTAAAAATCGCATTCCGGCCTGCAGACTTACAAATCTAGTCTCGTATTTACTATATTTTGTTAAAATTTTTTGTTTTCGTAATTTCTAATACGAAAATACGCGAATATAAATGAAGAGTGAAAACAAAGTTAAAAATTTACAAATTATTTACGAGATTGATTAGAAATAGTAAAATGAAATATAAACATTGCATACATTTTGTTCTAAATAGTGATATGCACTATTTTTATTTAGAATTTTGCTTCATTTTAATATGAAAGCAAAATAATCATCGAAAAATCGCAAATCTAGCAACCCATCTACTATGGAACAGCGTCCGACAAACATGTAAATTTACTGCATCCATGGAGGGAACTAACGACTTTTCTCAGTAGGAAAATGTCAAAGAGGGGGCGAAAGTGTTTTGTATCGCGTCGGTCTGAAGGCTATATTATGAGAATTTCGGCCCGGTTTTAGAAGGTTAATAGTCTTATCATAAAATACCAGATGCTGTAAAATAACTGCATTTTCTTATCTCTTGCAGGCTGAAAATGAGGTATTTAACAAACAGCAGAAATTACCAGTGATAAATGGAAATGCATGTTCAGATGCGGAACAGCAGAAATCTGTGAGGGATTTGGCATCAAAATTTGAGAAAATTTCCTTCCTGCCAGTGAATTCTGTTGAAACACTCCCAGAGGATAAAGGAAACAGTACGTCTCTATCACCAATAAATTTAGATGGAAATTCTTGTGTAACTGATAAGAAAAATTATATCACTCCACCACAAGCTGTAGCAAATGTGCTGTACACCGAAGCAGAACATTCTAGACCACATATAACGATTGGACAGCATTATATACCATATTCACAAGATAAACCTGTAAAACAACAGACAACAGAATATCCATCCAGAACTGCCATACCAGAAAATAAAGACAGACTTAATGTAATAAATATTAGCAAGCTACCATATCCAATGCAGTCATCTTCAGGCAGTGTATACAATCCACATTTAACCGATGCACAATTAACCAACGTTTTAAGAATAGGGACTAACAGATCATCTTTTAGAAGTTCAAATGTGAACCCAGACTCTCAAGATGACCATTTTGGACGTTACCCATATGCTTTCCAAGAAAGCAAACGTCCTGATAAACCTCCAGACTATGAAACAGCCATACAAAGGCTTGAACTTTTACGCAGTGACAGAAATTTTTCAAAATTTTATAGCAGTAATGCATGCATTAATTTTGAAGCCATTCTGGAACAAGCAAAAAAGAGACGTGGTCCAAAGAAAAGTGTTACCTTTTCAGACAAAGTTGTGCTTGTTGCTTGTGCTGGAGATGAGGACAATGATTTCATACCAAATCCCTTATTGGAACGTGTCTATAAACAACATTTTATGCAGAAACCAAATATAACAGATGTCCAATCATCTCCCAATAATGAACATGGAACAAATTCTGTTTCACCAAAAGACATTCCTGTTTCAGAATCCTTGTCCCCAGTTGCCAGCACATTGGATTTGCCAAAACCTTGCAGTCAATCTCCCTGTAATTTGTGCCATAAAAAAATGGTAGACTCTCCAAAGTTGTATTGTCCAGACTGTGCCTATTACATGTCAAGGTTTCAACAAAAGTAATGCAACATTATTTTCTCACCAAGTTTTAATAAAAGCTGGACTGTTTTATGTACTTACAGACCATGTTTCATTAAAACTGTTAAGAGCAAGAGAAGGAGCATGTTTAATAGAAACTGTAAAGAGGAAAAACTCTTAGTTGCATTTGTAATAACAAAGCTCAAAATTTTTCATTTGTGCAATATGTAGTATTTGTAAATACTTGTGTAGGACTGTATATTGTGAATATGTTAATTTTTAGTTTTATAGTTTTTAAATCTTTCATTTTTTACATCAAGTTACATTACATAATGTCTAATATAATTTGCACAAACATTTTTTTCATGTCTTGCACATCATAAGCACAATTTATTGTTGTACTTTTTAAAGTTTATTTTTTCATCCTTATAGCAGTATTTAGATTAGTTTTATGCTACATAAAATGATTTGTTATAATTCTGATCATTTATGAAATTATTGTTAAAAAGAAAAAAAAATAACTGTTTGCCTGTTAGATTAAGCTGCTGTAAAAATTCTATTAAATTATTTTCTATTTCATTATCTAGTTAGAAGAAACATATAACTCTTCGAAGGAGGGGAAAAAATATATGTTTCTTTTTTTTGGGGGGGGGGATTTCTCATTTTAAAACATAACCATGTGTCTTCATTGATATTCTTTTACTAATGAATTTATTTATACTACATATTCATGAATTGCCCTGGCTGCAGCAATTTCGGCTGACTAGACTCTTTATACAACTAGCATGTCATACAGTTAAGCATATAAATAATTCAAAGCTATATATATCTTTATTACTTGTGGAGTAAGTTAGCTCGCTTCCTCCAGAAATACATTTCTGAGATGACTGTACGTGTCACCTATACTTACTTTTCTGATTTCCACATTGAGAAATGTAGAAGAAATCAGAATAACACTAAAACTTATATTTATGCTAAATAATAGTCTGTATTTTCTATAAAATTATTTTCATAATTATTCATTTTCAATCATGTATTGATTGAAATAAATGAGTTATTACATAAGATCTAAAGAATAATTTAAATAATTTTTATATGAAAATTTCAAACTAGGAAAATTGGCAGGCAAGCAGTTAAATAATACATTTCATGGAAAGTTGCAATATGAAATGGAAAATGTAGGTTGTGCAAATAGAACATACTAGTTATCTAAATGGCTTTATATCACGAAAAAGAAAAATTTTATTCCTGAATAGATATGCAACATGAAATTATCAATTATGCTGTGATAGAGTAAAATATGGAATTTTTTTTTTTTTCCCCATTTTGCAATGGAAATTGCATATAAAAAATTGGTACTTAATCGTAGATATGTATATATTGGTTTGATCAAGAGGATCAGTGTTCTAAGTTTTAATACAGATCTTTTAAGCATTTTGTTGTTTGTTTTAATTTTACTCATTTTATTGTCCTTCTGAGCTATTACAAAATATATGTACTTACTTTTTATTTTTTCAAAAAATTTATAAATGTTGCAGCTGTATGTTATTCATAAGTTTGTGTGTTACAAACACTGAAATTTGAATAGGATAGAATGTATCTGTTGCAAACACTAATCAAGTAATATTACAACATTGAATGCAGTAAAAATATTTTTTTATGTACGTAACAAAAATATTTGATTGAGGTATAACTTTTATTATGATTTAATATCATAATTTAAATGATTTCTCATTTATATTTTGATCATATATTTATAATATTCGTTGTCTTTAAGTAAAGATTTGGGGCCTTAAATCCAAGTTAAAGTGTCTTCATTTACCTCAGTTTCCACTACTTGATCAGTGTCTGTTACCATTTAATTTACATAAATTTCTTCAAGTTTCATTCATTATATGAATTGAAGCTAAATTTATTTGTTAATTTATTATATTACATGTGCTTATTTAAAAAACTTACTGTTTTTAAGTATTAAAAGTTTACACCTACTTAGACAGTTCAATTTCATGAATAGTTCTCATATTTTATTCGGACAGTATTGTGATGAATATTTTATTGTTTAAGCCTATGAGAAGTAGCATTCGAGGAACTTCCTATTTGTGTAAAATTTATTACCATAATTTGTAGTAACTCACATAACTTTATTTTCATAATCTGCAAATGAGCCACTGAGTTTATTTTTGAGATTTTAGAGTAATGGCAGAAAGGAGTTTTTGCCTATAACTGATATGAAAAAAGTGAGAGTCCATCTTCTAAAATAAATTACAAGGAGCAGCACATAATTGGTGATTAAATGTAAATTTTTTGTGATAAAAAGTGCAAAATCTTTTTTTTTTTTTTTTTTTTTTTTGAATTTCTCTAAACTTTCAGTTTGAGCCGTTGTAACACACTATTATACATTCTCATAATTTGAAAGTTTATCATTCACTGATTATTTTTCAAAATGTGATGTGCCAAAAGCAATAACAAGATGTAAATTAATGAGTATAGTATTTTTGTACCACCGATACCTGTATTTTTCCCCATCAGACATGTATATAAATGGGAGAAAGGAGAATTTGTACAAACAATATTTCAATAAACTCTTATTCCTTAATTCTTTGCTTGTTTTCTATACATGTTGTGCTAATAAAGAATTAAAAATTTGTTAGGAACAGAAAGGTGAAATATGGTTTTCTGAACTTCTGAAGCCTTGAAGACAACTAGTACTCTGGTATAACGTTTTCAGTTTTGTCACATAGTAAGAATAAACAGTTCTTTACAGAACTGTCCATGTTCAAGCTTGGATTCAAATAGATTGTGGCAAAGCATACAAAGGCTACCTGTCAAAGGAAAGGGGTGCCTTAGTGAAACGTTTTGTAAGTAAACTGATTAATTTTCACATTACATGTGGAGAAAATTATGAAAACTCCTATACAGCCTATTCACCATAAGTTGAACCTATGTGGAATAGTTAAGTCCCATTTCAGTTGGGAGTAGATCATTAAGAAAAGTCACTTCAACGGAAAGTATGCCTCCATTTAATGAAACAGGTGCAAGTAAAATGAACACCCAGAAATTTTGGCACAAACTTCCTATTTTACCTTTCTTCAAGTTATAGGCAAGCTAATTATCTCCAAATATGTTTTTTTTTTTTTTTTTTTTGGTCTCTCCTGATTTGGTGGTTACTTACTACAGCCTCTAACTTCTTCATTTACTATCATAACGCCATCACCGCACGCAGAAAATTTGGAGACATTAGAGGATTCAGCTTTTTTTTTTTTTACAGCATTCAGCATTTGTTGCCATTATTCAGCATTTGTTGCCATGGTTGGAGGGGAGAATAAATGACAATGAATTGTAAGTATATTAATTTAGAGCATGTGTTCTTTGAATGGAGCAGACATTAAACATTTTCTTGATTTCATCATTTCATTTGAATGAAATTACTCAACAAAAGAGAAATATAAATTCATATAGATTTCGCAAGTTTAAAAATTAAATTGTGATTTTAACTTAAACTGGAAAGGAAAAAAATGAAAGGTTTTCTTTGTAATTTTGATATTTAAAAAATATTTCAGACAAATTCATTTAATTAAAACTTAACTTCTTTCCTTAATAACGTTTAAAAGTAATTAGTTTATTCAGCTTATTCCAAATTTCTGTTTTTGACAAAGTTAAAAAAAAAAAAAAAAAAATTAATGCCGAAAATTTCAACAAATGTTATGTTTTGAACCCTGCAACTAGATTTTAATTTATGGCAGTTTAATGAAATTAAATTTTGTAGCAGATATTACAAAAATTATTTCACTGGCATTTGTTATAAAATTCTAATAATTATTTAAAAAGAAAATGAAATAGCAATGCTTAACACACATGGCAAATTGCTGGATTTTGATCATCTAGTTCAGTTTTGTAGGCCATGTTTCCATTTTAAACTACCATAAAACTTTATAACTATATAAAATATATAAAACACTTGGAAAATTACTAGATTTTTGATCATTTAATACAATCTCGAACGTGATGTTTCTATTTTAAATATTCAAATTTTGATCAATAACACACTTGGCGAATTGCTAGATTTTTATCCTTTAATTCAATCTCATAAATAAAATTTATATTTTAAATATAGAAATTATGATCAATAACGAGTTAGGCAAAGCACATGGAAGGCTATCTCCCTAAACGAATCAAAGCCTTTGTGAAAGTATAACAGAAAATTGTTCGTATCCATGTTACACATCCCCGAAAAGATTGAAAATTAAAATTGACCACGAAAGAGTCTGTAAACTTCGATTTGTATTTCGCATTCCTTTTGTAAATTTCGTAACACTTTTACACTAAGGCAGTTTCTTACTGGCTGAATAGCTAATAATTTATTCTTAAGAGAACTTATTAAAGAAGTTCCTGCTACCAAAACTGTCCTTAAACTATGCAAGAATCATGGTTTTCGTCGCTCTAGATGAATACTGAAATGTCAGACGAAACATATTTCTCTCTAAGTAAAGTATTAAATAATTAAATTTTTATTGTGCATATAACGTCTTCTAGTCACCAACGATGTTACGATAATTATTATTTTCATGACAAATATGAGTTTTAAAGACAAACCTTGCCCGTTCGGCAAGATCGCGTGTAACATAATGAAGGTAATTTATAAACAGATGTAACTCCAGTACAAGTGAACATAACCATTTTAGATTTGTCAGGAGTGCACAGCGCATGGTACTATTCTGGCATTTAAGGTTTCCTTTCGCATAAATACAGTCAAGTCTTTAATCCGGACCTCAAACTTGCTGCGCATGCATAAACGCATAATGCGTCTACGCATGCGCTTAATACCTTTACGCATGCGCATAATACCTTTACGCATGCGCGTTTAATGTATAACGGACGGTATAAGCTAAGCTAAAATTATCTAATTATCTATTTCAGTTAATGTTGCAGCTTGCATTGTTCCTTAATCTTCTAATTGGATCCGGCTTATTATTTTTTGCAGACTGTTAGAGCAATTTTATAAAAGTAAAGCTTGAACTTTCGATTATGTCAAAAAGAATTTCCGATTCTGGAGCTGCCAAAGAATCTACAAAGCGAAAGCATGTTTCGATGCCCATCAAACAAAAAGTGGAATTGCTGCAAAAAATGGATAAAGGCATATCCTTTGTTTCTCTAACCATTACGAAATCTGTTTATCAATTTCACGCTGCTCTGCCGGGGGGGGGAAAGTCGCGGAACGCAATGAACTGGAAGTTGCTCTGTCAGCACTATCCTTATCTTCAGGGCAAATGTTTTTATTTTATTCGGCTTATAATTCCTTACTAAAGGTAGTATTTCATCTCGATGTACTCCGTCTTTGACTTGATTTAAATCAAATTCCTCGTCATTATAAATATCACGAATACACATCAAATAGTTTTCTGGTTGCAATTTTCTAATTTCGACTATGGTTAATGTATGCTTTACACATGTGCGCGTTGAAAGGAATGTAAAGTAAAGAAATAAATATTAAGCTTTTTTTTTTTTTTTTTTTTTTTTGTAAATTTTGATACCCTTTAGATCATAATTGCTCTTTATTTCATAAATTACGGTTTCATGTTTTTAATTTTATCATTTCTGCATGCCATCTTACCAGATTTAAACTGATAATCTATAATCCGGAATAGCCGAAGTCCCGACGAGTCCGGATTAAAGACTTTTGACTGTATTCTGTTACACCAGTTGAGAGAGAATGCCTCCTCAACTGGTGTAACAGAATATTTAGTCAGAGGGACTTTCTAGAGAAAACTAGTTTGTGTTATATATGGGTAGAACCATAACACAGTGAGCGTTTTCCATCATCATGAAACGAATTTGTAGCTGAACAACCAGTTTTTTACATCTTTAGCCACTCAGCACTAGTACTCCAATAGCGAAATAATTTCAACTAAGGGAAGAAGGGTCGCGAAGCAGATAACCATCGTCTGCTTTCCGACGCACAATTACAAAATATACGTTAGGATACGATAGGAATAATTACATTTCCTCAGCATCATATATGATTCATCGTTATTGGTGATTCGCATTTTCTGAAATGATAAACGTTTTATGAATTGAAATGCATCGTCGAAAATATTGCTCTTAAAGAATATGAGCTAATAGCCTCATTATGCTCTCTTTTTCAGTGTATTCGAAGGCTTTGCATAATTCTTCTTCTTCAATAGCTCGACAGCTCTGGGTGGGCCATGGCTTTCTCCAGGCATCTCTACTTTTGACAACTGTTTTCTAGTTTTTAACCTATAACACATTAAGATTTTTTTCGACACAATGAATCTATCTTAACGGAGGTCTGCCCCGAGGTCTATTTTCCATGGGCTTTGCCAGAAACATTTTCTTGCAGCAACGATCCTCATTCATTCTAGTCAGATGTCCAGCCTATTTAAGTCTCTGTAATTTGACGAATTTTACAATATCAGGTTGTTTTTAATTTTTTTTTTTCCTTCTTCTTCTTTTACTGTTTCTTGGAGAGTCCAGGCTACAAGTGCAACAAGTTTTTCTGGAATTTTCAATTCATGCATAGCTTTTATGAGAAGTTCTCTGTTAATGCAATTATATGCTGTTCGAAAACCGATAAAAAGATTGTAAGTCGATGCCAATTCTCTACATTTCAGAGACTTGTTTTTAAGTTGAAAAGATTTGCTCAGTTGTTTCTTTTCTAAATCCACATTGATAGTTGCCTATCAATGTGGCAAAAGCCTGTCAAAAAGAATCGCAGACCGAAATTTATAGGATGTGCAATAGAGACTGATTCCTCTATAACTACTACAGTCTAGCGCGTCTCCTTTTTTGTGTATCATGCAAATGGTACTATGTTCCCATTCCGATGGGAGTGTCTCATTCTCCCAAATATGTTAAATTAATTCCTTTATAAGCTGTACACAGTTAGGTCCTACAACTTTTAAAAATTCTGACGATATATTGTGAGATCCAAGAGATTTATTCTTTTTTTTTTTTTTTTTTTTTTTTTTTTTTTTGTTTTTTTTTTTTTTTATAGTTTTTATAGCATTATTCACTTCTGTTAACGAGGGAAGATCAACAGGCTCTAAATTCTGATTGTTGATCCACTAACTACTGAAGGCATGTCGGAATCCAGCAGCTCATTTCGATGCTCCTTCCATCTTTGAAGAACGTCACCTTTTGCACTTAAAATAATGCCATCTTTCCTTCGCACAGTGTATGTAGTTCTTGGCTTCTTCGTCCACGATTAATCTCATGAAAGAAAGCTCTGCTTTCTTTTACTCCCCTAACATGTTCAACATCCGTTAAGAGATTTTCATGAAAGTTCGTCTTCTTGATAACGTGGATCCTTTTTTCTTTTTTTCCGGCACATTTGTATTCGTCAACGGCTATTCTAGTATGTTGTCTTTGTATCATGTTCTTATATGCCTTGTTTTTAAGTTCGGTAGTACCCTGCACTCCAGGTCAAACCAATCATCACGTTTTTTCTTTTTAACTTGCATAATTAATTATTATTATTACCTTATATTTAACATCTTACATAGTTATTCCTGTGAAAATGGATTCGTAATGATCTTCTAAATTATATTATGCATTATAATTCAATTTGCATAATCCTTCTTT